GTTAGCCTGGAGAGACTGCCTTCACCAACCCTCTGCCAGCAATGCGCAGCAAACCAAGAGCAAAACTTCAGCCCTTGTAGGTTAACCCTCTACCTGTGGTGCCAGCATCCCCTATGGGGGCCAGTTCTAGTCCCAGATGCTCCTCTTCCAATCCAGCTCTCTGCTATGGCCTGGGAAAGCAGTAGAAAATGGCCCGAGCACATGGGTCCCTGCACCAACATGGGAGATCCACAAGAAGCTCCTGGCTCCTGGCTTCGGATTGGCACAGCTCCAGCCATTGCAGCCATTTGGGGAGTGAACCAGCAGAGGGAAGACCTTTCTCTGTGTCTCTCCCTCTCACTGTCTATAACTCTGCCTGTCAAATAAGATCTTTTTTATAAAAAGTGATAGAAACAGCTGATTCACAGATGCCCAAATGTTAATGTAAGGACATGGGAAGTATGAAAAGCTAGGCAATATTATACCTTCAAAGGAACAAAATAATGCCTTAGCAACAGCCTCTATTCTAAAGAAAAGGAGATTGATGGAATGTCTGAGGGTGGGAAGGATCACTATGTTCCTAAAGTTGTATTTATAAATGCATGAAGTTTGTATACCTTAAATAAAAGGTTTCTGGGTTTTAAAAAAAAACCATTCATAGGAAAACAATGTAAAAAAAAGACTTATTATAATCATGCTCAAAGAGATGCAAAAAAATAGAGACAAATAGGTCAATAAAATAGGGGAAACAACACATGACATGAATTAGAAACTCAACAGAGAGATAAAGATCTTGAAAAGGTGCCAAAAAGAAATTTGGGGAAAAAACGGCAAAGTTTAAAAAAAATACATTTGAGGGACCGGCGCTGTGGTGTAGTGAGTAAAGCCATTGCCTGCAGTACTAGCAAACCATATGGGCGCCAGCTCAAGTCCCGGAGCTCCATTTCTGATCTAGCTCTCTGCTATGGCCCGGGAAAACAGGGAAAGCAGTGGAAGATGGCTCAAGTTGTTGGGCCCCTGCACCCAAACGGGAGACCCAGAAGAAGCCCCTGGTTCCTGGATTCAGATCGGTGCAGCTCTGACCATTGTGGCCAGTTGGGGAATGAACCAGCGGATGGAAGACCTCTCTCTCTCTCTCTCTCTCTCTCACTCTCTCTCTCTCTCTCTCTTTGCCTCTACTTCTCTCTGTGTGTAACTCTGACTTTCAAATAAAACAAATAAATCTTCAAAATAAAAATACAGTTGAAGGCTTTAATAATTGGATGGATCAAGCAGAAGAAATAATATCTAACTCAAAGACAGTTATTTTGAAATATCCCTTTCAAACAAAACAGAAAAGAAAAAGAATGGAGCCATCCTTCAATACCTATAGAACACTATTAAACAAACACATATTCCAATGATGGGGATTCCTGAGGGCAAAGAGAGGAATAAAGGTTTAGAAAAACTATTCAGGCCAGCACCATGGCTCACTTCGGTAATCCTCCACCTGTGGTGCCGGCATCCCATATGGGCTCCAGGTTCTAGTCCTGGTTGCTCCTCTTCCAGTCCAGCTCTCTGCTGAGGCCTGGGAGGGCAGTGGAGGATGGCCTAAGTGCTTGGGCCCCTGTACACACATGGGAGACCAGGAAAAAGCACCTGGCTCCTGGCTTCGGATTGGTGCAGCACCAGCCATAGTGGCCATTTGGGGAGTGAACCAACAGAAGGAAGACCTTTCTCTCTGTCTCTCTCTCTCAATGTCTGTAACTCTACCTGTCAAATAAATTAAAAAAAATAGAAAAACTATTCAATGAAATAAGAGCTAAATGCTCCCCCCAATTTGGGCAAAGATATGGATATCCAAGTACAGAAAAAATTCTCATCACAACCCATTATAGTCAAACTCTCAAAAGTTCAATACAAAGAGAATACAAAAATTTTTAATATCAAATACTAGATCACTTTTAAGAGAACCCTATTAGATTAACAGCTGACACTTCAATGGAAATTTTACAGGTCAGGGAGAGTGGAATGATATATTCCAAGTTCTGAGAGATAATTATTGCCAGACAAGATTCTTTTACACAGTGATGTTATCTTTTATAGAATAAGAGGAGATAAGTACTAAGATAAGCAAAAATTGAGAGAGTTCATCAACATCAGACCAGGCTTACGAATGATGCTTAAGGGAGCCCCGTATATAAAAGATAAAGAAAAATATCAGCCATCATAAAGACATGGAAAAGAGTGAAGCCCAGTAGAAACAGAACAAAGGACACTCAAAGTAAATGGAAGAAAATTTTGAAAATAACAGGACTAGAGTTATTATTAACAATAACTTTGAATATAAATGGACTAAATTCTCCTATTAAAAGACACAGACCAGCTAACTGGATTAAAAAACAAGACCGAAAAATATGCTGCCTATAAGAAACACAGTTCACCAATAAAGACACAGATGGAAACTGAAGGGATAGAAAAAGATATTTTCTGCAAATAGAAATCTAAGGTGAACAGGAACAGCTAATCTCATATCAGACAAAACAGACTTTCAGATAAAAATGACAATGTCACTATATAATGATCAAGGGATCAAATCAATCAGAAGATATGAGAATTGTAAATGTATATGCACCTAATGCCAGTGTACTCAATTGCATAAAACAAACATTAGTCAACCCAGAGAGAGAGAAGTTTTATTGTAATAATAGTGGGGACTCTAACACCCCACTGTCAACCAATGCACGGATTATATGGACCAAAAAAACAAAAAAAATCAGTTAAACTACACTAGACCAAATAGATCTAAAAGATATTTATAGAACATTCCATCCCACAGCTATAGAATTTCCTCTTTTTGTTTTTCCAGTAAGCACATGGAACATTCTCTAGGATAGATCACATATTAGACCCAGGTGAAGCTTCCGATTCCTGGCTTTGGCCTGGCGCAGCCCTGGCCATTGTAGCTATTTGGTGAGTGAACCAGCAGATGGAAGATTTCTCTCTCTCTCTCTCTATCCCCCTCTCTCCTCTAATTCTGAATTTCAAATAGATAAGTAAATCTTTAAAGAAGGCCTTCAATAAATTAAGTACTCATGATTTTAAAAAATAAACAAAAAACCTTGAAGAAATTAGGTACAGGAGGAACATACATCAGTATGTTCAAATCAATAAGGAAAAAGCTACAAATGACAAACCCACAACCAACCTTTATTCTGAATGGGGAAAAGATGAAAGCATTTCCTCTAAGACCTGGAACCAGACAGGGATGCCCACTCTCACCACTCTTACTCAATATGATACTGCACGTTTTAGCCAGAGCCATTAAACAAGAAGAAGAAATAAAATACATTCAAATAGGAAATGAGGCAGCCAAATGTCCTGTCTGGAAATGTGATGATCCTGTAAAGAGTGAAACCTAAAGATTCCATAAAGATACTATTAGAACTGATAAGTGAATTCAATAAGTCACAGGACACAAAGTCAGCACACAAAAATCAATTGTATCTTTATACACCAACAATGGACTTACTGAGAAATAAACAAGAGCATTCCCTTTCACAATCACAATAGCAAAAAAACAAACAAACAAACAAACAAACCTTAGACTAACTTTAACCAAGCATAAGTGAGTCTTCTAGAACATGGCTGTATGTAAACACTACATACTTTCACCTGCTTTCTTAAAATGCACAAGTGAAATCGCGAGGGGACACAGTATGAAGAAGTGTAAGGTGCATCGCCAACAGCCCTCCAGAGTTTGTACTAAGCTGCCTTCCCACTGGCCATAAAGAACTCTGCAGGTTTCCCTCCACTGCTCATCAACACCTAAACTTTGCTGAAATCACGGGGCACCTCTCTTAATTTTTACTAAGAAAACACACCCACTTATGCCTACTGCAATGGCAGGAACATGGAGCAGTGCTTTTGAAATGATATTAATGAATAAAGGCTTGACTTTTAATGAGTTCTGAGGCTCAGTGAGCTCAGCTACCTCCTAGAGTGAAGAGAAAAATCATGGGAAGACTCCCAAGAAATAGCTGAGAGGATCCAAAGCCTCTGCATTCAATGGAGGCAGGAACTGCTGACACAGACTTCTTGGTGCCCTTTATGGAAGAGCTGAAATCCAGTCTCACCTGAGTACACACCCAGTATCCCATTTCCTAAATGCCCTTCTAGAAAGTAACCAGCAATGTGGGGAGTTAAGGGGTCCCTCTTTTCTTCTAGCTAAACTCGAACCTCTGGGTGCAAATTCATACTAATACACAGAATATTTCGGAACATCAGAATGTCAGATTTCCTTAGAAGGAGGGGTCATCCCTTTCATTGTGCATCGTTTCTCTTGTTTAGTTTTCTATTTGAATGGTAAAATAGGTCTTGATTAAATAATCAGGCATACCCACTCGATCTAGATAGGAAATAAAGGAGGATGCCCTGAGATATCTACCACCCTGCACAGGGAAAGAACTGTTTACTGAAAGTAAGGCCATCTAGAGTTACTAGCAGGGTCATCCTATAAAATAATTTTTTAGAAAAGGGTGGGGGGGTCACCTGGAAAGTTTGTTAGGGTTTTTTAAATTCAAAAAATCCCTAAAGCTTAAAGCTTCCAAATCCTAGATCTACAGGAATTCCGCCTGCACAGCCTCCCCTTCTTTTCAGTAAACATTGTACAATCTGCTGGATTTCTCTATGGCTTTTTTTCATACTAGCGAATCTGTTTGGAAAGAAAAGAAAAAGGAAGGGAGGGAAAAAGCCTTCTGTTTTTCATAACGTCTAATCTTTTTCCCCATTGGCATTCACCAGATGTTGCTTTGGATCGGAAGATAAATATTAAAATCCAAGCAAGAACAAAGTGAGCTGTTTACTGGGCAGATTTTTCAGATGTTCTCCTGAACACTTAAAAAAGACAGGAGATGCTTTGATATGCAGGCTGGCTGAAATCCACAATGGAGTGGCCCCTGTGAGAGGCTGCATCCCCCAGTCCCTTGGCCCACTGGCCATACCTTGGTGGGGAGGCTCAGGGAGGGAGAACATAGCATCACCTGATGAAGAGGCCCGACCAGGTTGGGAAGGCTGACTCTGTCCAATGATCCGGCACAAGGCGGCTCTGGAAGCTCTCTGCACAGATGTAGAGGTAAGGCCACGACTCAGGCGCTCTCTCCATTCCCACAGCAACAGTCAAATCACACCGCACGTAGGTGAGGCTGGCGGCTTCACAGCTGTCCTCCTCGGGCTTCAGGTCACACAGGAAAGCCAAGGACACTGAGGACATGGTGCACAACAGGTTAGGTAACAAGCACGAAGGAGCTGTGGGCCCCACATTGTTTCCTGAATGAAGTTCACGTGTCCTTACTTGACCAAAAAGAAAATGAAGTTACCAGCTCACTTGTTTTAATAAAATGTGGTATGTTTCTAGGGCATACACAGAAGAATATGAAAGGATTTGAAAGGTTCACAGAAAAACAAATTAGAAGATAAATCATATTTCCATAAATTTTTTGAAGGTCTGTCTATAAGTAACATTATTCTAAAATATAAATTATCAAAAAAAAAAAAAAAAAAACCACACTCATCTGACTCCATCAGCCAGCACCAGATCTGCAGACAGCAGAGGCGCTCTTCAATCTGTGCACTTGTGCCAAGCATATTCCCTGAGTTCTCAGAAATAACCACTTGGCATTTTTCAAATAGTTTTGTCACATGGCTTTGTTTTCCTAAACAAGAGCTGATTGAGTTTTACTTGTTTCGGAACTTTATAGAATGTAATTCCTAACAAGATATTTGTGACCGTTTTTTCATTCGGTATATTTCCACTATTCATCCACATTATTGAATAGTTATTGATGCATTTTTACACTGTTCAATATTGCAATGTGCGAAAGTACTACAATGTATTTATCAATTCTCTTACCATTGGACTTTTGGGTATTTCTCAGTCTTTGACACTTTAAACATGTACCAACTATTCTCAAGGGTACATTCTTATAAAGAAAATTGCTTGATTGAATGGTGAGTACAAGTTCAACCTTACAAGGTAGTGTCATGTTTTCGAAGTACATTCCTAACCAGCTGTAATTATAAGTTTGCATTACTCCACATAATTGACAGCACTTGAAATTATCACTCTTGGGGCTGGCGCTGTGGCACAGTGGGTTAATGCCCTGGCTTGAAGTGCCAGCATCCCATATGGGTGCTGGTTGGAGACCCGGCTGTTCCACTTCCGATCCAGCTCTCTGCTGTGGCCCGGGAAAGCAGTAGAAGATGGCCCAAGTCGTTGGGCCCCTGCACCCACGTGGGAGACCTGGAAGAAGCTCCTGGCTCCTGGCTTTGGATCAGTGCGGTTCCAGCCATTGCAGCCATCTGGGGTGTGAACCATCGGATGGAAGATCTCTCTCTCTCTCTCTCTCTCTCTCTCTCTCTCTCCTCCTCCTCCTCCTCCTCCTCCTCCTCTCCTCTCTCTGTGTTAACTCTGACTTTCAAATAAATAAAATAAATCTTTAAAAAAAGAAATTATCACTCTTAATTTTTGCCAATGAAGTACATACAAAATGGTATCTCCTTGTTACCTTAATTTGCAGTGCTTTTTTGGTTGAGCAATTTTTCATGTTTAGCAATAACTCATGTTTCTTCTAGGATATCGCTCTTGTGACATTTCCCCATTTCCTTATAAGACTGTGTCTCCTTTTCTTATTGATTTTCATTCTTTAGAAATTCTGGGTACTTATCCTCCAGAGATTACATGGTTACCAACACTTTTTCCAAGTTTAAACCTTTTCTAAGCTAAACTTTTCATTCTCTTTATGGGATCTCTTGACCAACAGAAGCTCTTAATTTTCCTGTAATTATGGCCTTTGACATTTTATAAAGAAGCAAAGCAAGTATTTGAAGGCCTTTCACGTTCAGGCTATTTCTTTTTGGATCCAGAGATACATGAAAGTATCATTATGTTACTGAATCTGTATATGTGAAATATATGAAATTTGTATACATTAAATAAAATTTTTAAAAAGGCACCAGTAAGCAGAAGGGCCAGAATGTTTAAGTTGGAGATGAACAAATTCCTAAATGAGATGGTTGGGGGTAGCTTTGTCTGAAAAACCTTAATAAAGTAAAGAGGGAAAAAGAAAACTCTCTCTTGCCTGCTCCTTCTGCAGCTGGTCAGCTGAGGGAGGTATGTGGCAAATATTATCAAGGAGGATGGGCTTGAGCCAGTGCGCACCTGCCCTGCCACAGCTGCACAGCAGGGAAGGGATGAGACAGGGATCTGTGAGAGAGCGTGTACTTACCCCGTCACACCCAAACATCACAACCCTTGCTGGCACATTCTAAAGCACTTGACATCTAGGAGGTTCTCTGTGATTGTGTTTTGCGTAAATTATACCAGCTTAAAATGACCAACAGTAAGACTCACATGGAGAGACAAAGTAAGAGACCTTCTCGGTGAGAAAGCCCTAAAGCAAAGAAAAACAGGTTCAACACCAGTAAAACAACAATTCACTTCGGTGATTAAGTAGATGTGCATCGGAAAGGTGCATTATGAAAAGCACCCAGGGCTGACAATCAAAATCCATGGATTCTACTCACAATTCTGCCTCTGACGAGCTGTGTGACCTTAGTAATTTCAGCTTGTGGTGCCTCACGGAGAGTCAGTCTCCATGAAAGAGTCAGGGGGTACAATTTAGAGTTTAAATGCAAGAAATGCAAGAGATTTTACTCATTATAAGCAAATACAAAGTATTAGGTTCCCACCTAGAAGGATGTTTCAACAACTCACCATGTTGAAAAAGTAAAACTTTTCTTTTCTGTAAGAATACAATTTTGGGAGATCTTAAAGACAGGTGACACCAGAAGTACCAAAAGCAGTGTTTCAGAGCTTCGGCTGTAACCACCTTGCACATCAGGGTAGTAACAAAGGGGCAAGCAAAACAGAGCTGAGGGAAGTTTAAAATCTAGGCCCTCATCTACAGCTTGGAATGTGAAACATCACTCTTGGGTGCACACTGCACAGGAAAACTCAAAGCAAGTGTTGTAATTCGGTGACCTGCGTAAATCACAGAAATTAACAGAAACAAACAAAAGACCAAATGAAGAGGAAGGCAGTAAACTACAAAAGAAAAAAAGGAGTCATGTAAATATGAGGAAAGGCCAGCTGTGCATCTCCATGCGTGTGTGTGCATGCAAACGCACACACATGCATGCATTGAATAGTAGCAGGTAAAAGATTAGAATCAACAAGGACTCTATAAACAAACATGCGACTAGATTATATGCAGTCATTTTATGATGCTACTCAGTATGGCAGAACACACTTGCCCAAAGTAGGTACCTAGTTTTGGGATAAAATTAGGAAAGAATGTAGAATTTCACAGAGGATGCAGAGGAGAAATACCAATATGCTTATCTGGAAAATTTCTAGGGCTGAAATTTGTTCTAATATCCCCCTATCTGAGGGTCTGGGTGCAAATCTAGCTTCACTCCCACTTCCACCATCCTGCAGCAAGTGAACACTCATATACTTGGGTCCCTGTCACCCATGCTAGAAACCCAGACTGAGGTCCTGGCTCCCAGCTTCAGCCTACCCCAGCCTTGACTGCTGCAGGCATTCAGAGAGTGAAACAGTGTCTGTCTCTGTCTCTGTTCTACTGCCTTTCAAATAAATTAAACACATTCATCCACATCTAAAAATTAAGAATTCACATTTCTGACAGCACTCACATGACACACACTTTAAGCACTGCTACATTAGGATGATTGAGACGCTCAGCTTTCCAAAGGGCCACAGGCTGATCGAGGTTAGAAAAGGTGGAGTGAGGGAGCGTCAGGGAGGCAGAGGGGTGGATGTCTCTGAGAGGAACCTGAAGCACCTGCAGAGATCGCTGTTGGGAAGTCCTCTCCTGAAAGACCTTTTCAATATGCCAGATTCTTAAGTGCATTGGTCGTACGCAATCACATCTGATCGCGGAGGATTAACCAGTAGTTTCTAATATTCTCTGAGATGCATCTCCTTTGACTATTTGGTGTCCACTATGGACCTACTTCCTAGAAAAGAGAACTACATTCAATATATTTTATCCAAATTCGTAGGGCTGACAGAATCCTGAAATTCTACCACATATCCTCTGGAGCTGGCTCTCACTAGCTTCTCTTCATCTTTAGACAATGTGGTTAAACGTCATTTAAAAGACTTCTTTCTGACAGAAGAAAATTAGTCAAATTATCCAGTGTCCCTTATACAATTGGTGAGTGTTTGGTGCCACCTAGTGGTAATATTAAGAGTTACAGCTTCTAACAGGTTTTCCTATCAAAATAAATCAAGGGATTTGGAGACATCCTTTTCCAAAACAATCTTCTGAAAGATAATTTTATTATTTTCCTCCTAGGAGTTATAAAATGTAATTAATGCAAAATATTCTTGTACATGCTTTTTGACTCAATCTATTTCAGTATTATCCATATTATTGAATATAGCTATTTTATCTTTATTGCTGTTCAACACTGCATTGCAATACCATGATTTTTCTTTTTTTACTTCTAGTTAAAATTATGTGTATTGATGTGATGTCAATTGACTTTAAATTGTAATAGTTTAAGCATTGTATGAGACAACTTAAAGGGGTCGGCGCCATGGCACAGTAGGTTAATCTTTCGCCAGCGGCACTGGCATCCCCTATGGGCACCAGTTCTAGTTCTGGCTGCTCCTCTTCCAATCCGGCTCTCTGCTATGTCCTGGGAAAGCAGTAGAAGACAGCCCAAGTCCTTGGGCTCCTGCACCCACATGGGAGATCTGGAAGAAGCACTTGGCTCCTGGCTTCGGATCAGCGCAGCTCCCACCGTTGCGGCTATTTGGGGAGTGAACCAATGGAAGGAAGACCTTTCTCTCTGTCTTTCTCTCTCACTATCTGTAACTCTACCTCTCAAATAAAGTAATAAAATCTTTTTAAAAAACTATAGCTATTCCCAAGTGGTGGAGTTGGAAGCATACCAGGGGATTCCAATTCAATCCCATCGAGGTGGCATGTACCAATGCCATCTCACTGTTCCAGGTGATCAGTTTCAGTTCACAGTTGGTCATGGTGAAGGGACTGGGAGTCAAAGGGAGCACATAGACAAGTCTAGTACCTGATAACGCTAACTGATGGAGTAAATAAAGGGGAGAGTGATCCAACATGGGAAGTGAGATACTCAGCAGACTCATAGAATGGCAGATGTCCTAAATAGCACTCTGGCCTCAGAATCAGCCCTAAAGGCATTCGGAGCTGGCTGAAAAGCTCATGAGAGTATTTCAGGCATGGAAAGCCAAGACACTCTGGCAAAAGATCTCTGCGAGTGAGATCCCAGTGGAAAGAACAGGCCATCAAAGAAGGAGGTACCTTTCTCTGAAGGGAGGAGAGAACCTCCACTTTGACTATGAGCTTGTCTAAACAAGATAAGAATCGGAGAACTCAGAGGGCTTCCATAGCCTTGGAAACTCATGACCGGAGCATAGGGAGATTACTGATGCCATAGACAGGAGTGTCAATTGGTAAAGTCAACAACAGGAGTCACTGTGCACTTACTCCTCATGTAGGATCTCTATCCTTAATGTGCTGTACATTGAGATTTAATGCTATAACGAGTACTCAAACAATATATTTCACTTTGTGTTTCTATGGGGGTGCAAACTGTTGAAATCCTTACTTAATGCATAATAAACTGATCCTCTGTAAAAAAAAAAAAAATGTAAAAAAAAACAAAAAAAAATGAAATTATCAATTCCCAACTTGACTCTCACTGGGATTAAACATGACAATAGGTCTGATCTGATTTCATCATCATTTTAAAAAATCATCTATTATTTTTCACTTTATGTTTCTGTGTGGGAGCAAACTGTTGAAATCCATACTTAATGTATACTAAGCTGATCTTCTGTATATTAAGATAATCAAAAATGAATCTTGATGTGAATGGAAGGGGAGAGGGAGTGGGAAAGGGGAGGGTTGTGGGTGGGAGGGACGGTATGGGGGGAAAGCCATTGTAACACATGAGTCGTACTTTGGAAATTTATATGTATTAAATAAAAGTTTAAAAAAAAAAAAAAACTATAGCTATTATGGATCAAAACTAGCAATATGGAGTCACATTTTCTTTTTTCACCATTTCTCAAATTCTCTCACTTATCCTTTCAAGGATCAATTTTGCACACCTCTGTGCCAACACTATCATATGCACAGTGAATGAAACAGACAACACCATGAAGCTAACTATTCTGTTCTACCTTAAATTTCTCATTATAGAGTTAATCTGCCTTCCATAATATTGTGATTGTAAATGAGTACATGCTGAAAACAGGAAACTTGATTTCTAATATCTTAAACAAAACCTTTTCCTCCTCCTCAACTCAGACAATGTAGCATAAATTACCATTACAGAAGTAGTATCCACCATTGTCCAAACTCAATTTTAAAATGGCACTTCTATCACTTTCTGAATCCTTAGCCCACATTCAAGTTGAAAACAAAAAATTAAGGACAAGGGTAGGTGTTGGGTACAGCAGGTTAAGCTGCCAGTTGGGACACTGGCATCCCATATCAGAGCACCTATTCAAATCCCAGCTACCTTGCTTCAGATCTAGCTCCCTGCTAATGCAACTGGAGAGTAACACATGAGTATTCAAGTACTTAAGTCCCTGCCACCCATGCGGGAAACCTGGATGAAGTTCCTGGCTCCTTGCTTTGGCCTGGCCCAAACACAGGCACAGCTATTGTGGTCATTTAGTGAGTGAACCAACGGATGGAAGATCTTTCTCTCCCCCTTTCTTTTTCCCCCTCTCCATCCCTCCCTCCAACATACTGTCTTCCAGAAATAAATAATTTAAAAAATAGGAACATAGTTTAAATACCACCAAGAAAGCACATGTGTAAAGTCTTAAACACACAAGATCTATGATAATGCAAACAAAATAATCATCTGGTTAAATCTGAGCTATTCCAATTGCAGTAAAGTCCCAAAGTCCTAATGACAATTTCTTTCCTTTCACTTGTTTTTTCCTGAAGTTCTGTGAATATTTACCATGTTCTGTGAAGCACAAGTTTTGCACCTTACTCTATAACTGCTCCCCCCATAAAGACAAGGCTTCCTGTACCATTATTTACATGTTGTCTACACAATCATGACAGTTTATTGAGTAAGGACTGAGTAACTAACTGGGCAGTGCAGAGCCAGAGAATAATGTGAATGTTGGCTCTTTAGCCTATAATAGGAATTCAAGAACTGAACACACAGCGCCAATATTCAAGAGATGTCCAGCTTGATAATCTCCATCCTTTTACTGTTACCTCTAATAAATAGATTTTCCAGTAACCTCACTTTAGAACAAGACCCATAGCTTATTTCCTCCACATTGCCTGCTGCTATCATTGAACCGAATATGCAGAACCCAGAATGACCTTCTCCATCATATGATTGCAGTTGCGAACATAGGTGATATATTTTTCATTAGTCATTTAACTATGGCCCATTGCTATGATAGAAGTTACTATGAACCATTTTAATAGGTGGCCCTTGTTTCTAACTACCATTTCAGATGGAGAGCAGAAAAATTCTTTCCCCAGATACACATAGAAAAATTAGTGGTCATTACAGCATTAATTACAAAACTAGAATCAGCCAAAGGATATCTAACTAGCATTTCTACTCACCATCCAGGGGCAGAACCAAGCAGCTAAAGGCAGACACAGTAGCATTGGCCAAGACTTGGCAGGGAGCACCACATACAGCAGCTGAGATATTCCCCGGGGAAAATCCTGCTCCAAACACATGTACCAGCCTTCCATCCAGGCAGCCTTTAAATACAGAAGTACAAGTTCATAACCTTAGAGGGAAATATCTCTTTGCTTAACTCAGAATTCAAACCTTTGCTTTCTTCTTCCCATTCTTCATATGACCTGCAGAATCCACAAAACTGGCCTTAGGTCCCCAAAATCCTCAGCTTCCGCACTTCCCCTGTGGCCTCCTGAGCCCTGCTGGACCCCAACCATACCCAACAACCTATTATGTGGAAGGATGTTTTAAAAATGTAACCATTTTTATATAGAAAATGAATAGTTACTCATGGTTTTTAAACATTGTATACAAAAGAACACAAAATGAAAGTTCTCCTAACCTGCTATCTCATTCCCCAGTAGGCATCTATGTCCAGAGTTTCTTATGATTGCTTCCAGAATTTTTATTCTATGTACATTATTTTACTCCTTGTTTTTTGTGTTTTGCTTGAAAGTACAGCATAGATATTTTCCAAACCTATATAAAGCTCTTAATAGTCACTTAGAATCCCATTACATGATTACACTACAATTTAGTTAACAATTTTCCTCATGATTAATACTGCCATTATTTCTCCTCTTTTGCTGTCATTACTAGTGCCGTGATAACTATATATATTTTGGAGAAATTTGCATGAGTAAAGCTAGATCATACCTCTCACCCACACTGGTAAATAGAGTTCTGGGCTCAGGAGTTTTCATACCAAGTCCAGGAGGCACTTGGACAACTTTGAGTGCATTTCCTACCCCTACTCTGCTACCATCAAGATCACTGAATCTTAGAAAGTACAAGGGGGAATTTAGAGAGCATTCATCTCATGTTCCTTCATCAAATAAGGAAGTTAAGTCAGGAAAATCAAACCCCAGTTAGCTAAGTTAGAAACAGACTCCAGATGCAAATCCCAATCCCCATGGCATTCCACACAGCTGAGGCCAAATTTGTTCTAAGAGATGGCTTGGTTAATATTTTACCAGCCTAATAGTCTGCCTCTATAATTTCCCCAAGACTCTCTAAACCACCAATTTGAACTATCTCAAGTGCAATCAGGCCTTCAGTGAGCAGAAAGTGAAACCGTCCTCAGAAGAAAAGGCAATGAAGCTTCAACATCTCTAGAAGGAGGGAAAACAGGCCGGCGCCGCGGCTCACTAGGCTAATCCTCCGCCTAGCGGCGCCGGCACACCGGGTTCTAGTCCCGGTCGGGGCGCCAGATTCTGTCCCGGTTGCCCCTCTTCCAGGCCAGCCCTCTGCTGTGGCCAGGGAGTGCAGTGGAGGATGGCCCAGGTGCTTGGGCCCTGCACCCCATGGGAGACCAGGAAAAGCACCTGGCTCCTGGCTCCTGCCATCGGATCAGCGCAGTGCGCCGGCCGCGGCAGCCATTGGAGGGTGAACCAATGGCAAAAGGAAGACCTTTCTCTTTCTCTCTGTCTCTCTCTCTCTCACTGTCCACTCTGCCTGTCAAAAAAAAAAAAAAAAAAAAGGTATATATAGAAGGAGGGAAAACGCATCAATGACGCTGTACTCTGCCAGTTGCTTACTGTTGGTAGGATATGAGCTCACCTGTGAAATATTAAGTTTTAAATAATGCAAATTGGCATATACTCACAGGCCTACAAATAGATGGAGGCATTTCTGTGCTTGAATTATCTAATTATGAGCTCTTAAAATGGTATTATTTAAAACACAAATTAAATCCAGTTAATGTATTAAAATATAATCAATCACTTAGAGAATATATACAATTTTCTTGGTATAAAATATAAATTCTCATAAATGGAACATAACGAAGTCTCAGGAAAACACTGGAATGGGAAGAGGCCAGCCAGCCCTCTTGTTCCTTCTTGTGTGCAGACTTATGTTGACTTCCTTCCCCACGGAACAGAGAGGAGCTACAGATACACTCACACGCCCTGTCTCATTTGCTTGACTTACCAAAGTTCTCAGTGACTGCTGAAATCCTAACTGTTGATGTGAACACCAGCACTGACGAGGCCCACCCTCTGGTATGGTCGTAGCCCGTGACTTGGTATTGCCCAGCAGGAAGGAGCGGGGCCGTGCATTGCAGAATGGTGTGGTTACCAGAGACTCCCACACAGGGTGACGTCCCAATAAAAATGTCAACATTCAGAGCTCCTGAGATCCGGCCCACTGCAAATGTTACCATGTCATCAGTCTGAGAAAGAGAGAGCAGCTCTGGGGTGAAGGCGGTGCTGTAGCCAACGGCTCCCACGTGGTATAAAAGTCCATCTACCTCTAGTTCCAAGGTGGCTGAGCCATTTCCTGCAGGCACAGTGCAGCAGATGAGCTCAGCATTGATGGTCACCATGCGGCAGGCCTGCTGGCCAACATAGACAAACGTGGTGTTCTGTCCTCTCAGGGCCGTGCCCTCTATGGCCAAGAGGCCTCCACCGTATATGCTGAAATTCTTTGGGTAATAGTGAATCACTTGAGGCATAACATGAAAGTATCTGGAAATGTTCCCAAAACAAGTATATCCACTCCTTGCATGAAAAACTGATAAGTAGTGGCGTCCTGGGGTCAAGTCACCTATCTGGCAGGCCACGCGGCTTGCATTGAAGAACGTGACATTGCAAGGAAGCTGGTCATCCACAAACACCAACAGCTCATCTGCTGCAGTGCCTAACCTCTGACCCCTCATCACCACGGTGGTCAGAGACCCACTGGTGTTCGTGGCCAAGGTGTCCACAGTAGGAGTTGTCTCTTCCCACATGAAGACAGTGCAGTTCCCCTGGCACGCACTGCGTAGCCCGTTGACCAGGACTGTGACGTTCAAGCTGAAGGAAGCTCCAGGCAAAGGGTCCCCTATCAGGGTAACCTGGCAGACAATTGCATGATCTCCCAGACTCAAAATCGCACAAGTGAAAGGACCAGAGAGGTCAACCTGAACTGACCTCTTTCTGGAGTGGAAAGCCACGCCCCTCACAGTGAGCACTGTCCCACCACAGGCAGAACCCTGGGTTGGGGAGATGGTGGTTATCTGAGGTGTCACTACAAATTGCTGGGGCACCGCAGACATATCAGCCAATCCCACCTGCTTCTGACGTACTTGGAGAGGATAGATGCCCGCCTCCAAACTGAGAAGAGGAAAGGAGCACCCAGACAGGTTCATGCGACTCCCCGGAGAGTGTGTCTCAAGTTCACACGTCAGGCTCCCCAGAAGGATGACTGCATCCGAAAGGTTATTTCCTTGCACATAGAGCATCAAGCTATCATTTGTGATTTCTCCCCACATGGTGGTAACCACCGGTGTTGAGGCTGCTTCGTATATGAAAGTAAAGCCCTTCCCCACCAATTGTGGGGAGGGTCCACGGGTGAAGGACGTGCTGCCAGCCCACACCTCCACAGGGGCAGGGACACTGAGAGCATTGGCGTCGGGCCGCACAGGAGCTGGCGAGGTCTCGCACCACACGCTCACCTCAGTGACGTTCACAACATCGCAGGACCGATTGCCCACGAGCACCCATACTGAAGCTGGGTCCCTGCTGAACCCTGTTCCCAAGATGCTGAGAATGGTTCCACCTGAGATGTGAAGATGGGGAAAAAAAAGCTGAAAAGCTGATATTCAGACCTAGGAACTTACAGCACCTATGTCGGGTGGTGCCCTGAAGCAGGGTGTGAGTGAAACCTCTTGTCACCTAGACAATTGTCAGATGTCCTAAAATTCACATAACAGAAAAGAATATGTAAATTGTTATACAGGATAGCCATTTGTAATACTTAAGGAGAAACTTTTCAAGCACCTTTTATATCCTAGAGGCACCACTGCCATCAACACACATTAGGGAAAAATCAAATTTCTTACTTTTCTCATCATCTGCTATATTACCTTACTGTTCTATATGTTATAATGTAGAATATATGTATATTGTCCTATATACAGTCAACTTACTAATGAAAAATCAATTCACTGAAGTCTTCTACTTATCTTCTATATTAATCTGTATAATATTATAATATTCTATATATTATATATCCTCATATGTTCTATATTTTCTGTTATACATGAAAAACCCATCAATGACCACTGAATCATCCCAGTGAATTTGCTGCTATATTCATAGACCTTGTCTTACTCTCCTATTGAACTATGATTCAAAATCAAACCCCATCTTCAGAAAAGGAAGTGGACCAACACAACCCATAGCAGCTTATAAAACAATTCCACTCTTCTCAAAAAGGTAATCTTCTGTTTCATACACTACACTTTCACAATGGTTATCCACATACTTTCAGCTTTTCTGAAAATGAATAGTCATTTCTCCAGAGTCTTGTCTTGATATCTCCCATACTTGCATTTGTGTTTTATTTCTGATTCTGTCATATGCCTCCAGAGAAGCAAGTAAAGATATCAAAGTCACTTTCCTTCCCACCTGGCACATACAGTGTTTAAAAGGCTGATGGAAACTCTTCCCTTATTTTCCTAACTCTGCTCAAAAGCACTGCCCATTAGATGTTTCAGCTTTTTCATGAGAAGAAAACCAGATACACGTCACTTTTTCATAAGCACCTTTTAATTTCCAGAGTTAACCAAGCTATAGAATCATTTCGGTTTTGACACACCTGTCCACTTTGTGGAACTTAAAAAAAAAAAAATTAACATGTTGTCTGCCCCTATTGCTGGCCTCCATGATCACTAATCCAGGCACAAAATCTGCATATACAGGGAACAGGCTTTCTAGATAAATGACAAGCTGTGTTAGAGCCACTCACCCATAAGAGACCCACAGCAAGGCTGGATGCTGTAAACATCTGTGATGTACTGGATGTGGAGATCAACCCTACAGGAGATGGGAAGGTGGTTAGGAAAGAATAGAGCAAACTAGAAAAGTGGAAAAGAATCTTTGGGAAAATATAGAAGCATGAAGGAGAGCAAGTGTGAATGACACTACCTAATAGAAAAGAAAGGAAATGGTGGTGGGAAGATGTGTGGGACACTGTCCTGGACCACTGCTCAGTGGTGACATCTGTCCCATAGACTTCACTTTCTAGAATAAGCAGAGGGAACTTCTTGAGAAATGCCAGGCAGAGATTTCAGGGCAGTGCCCACTCCACTCTCACCCCAACCAAGTTCCATAAAGTTTCCATTTCCTCAGCTAGTAAGTCAAAACTGTCTCCTGCGTTAGTCTAGGGATTGAGCTGTCTGGAGCTCTCCAAGATTTGTCCACGTTATGATTCTCATGACTTTATACCCTAACTTCAGAAGAAAAAGTGGGGGAAGAAAGCCTTAATGCAAAATCAGAATTCTGGGGCCTGCGCGGTGGTGTGGTGGTTGAAGCCGCTGCCTGCAGTGCCAGCATCCCATGTGGGTGCCAGTTCAAGATCCAGCTGCTTCGCTTCCAATCCAGCTCTCTGCTGTGGCTTTGGAAGGCTGTAGAGGATGGCCCAGGTCCCTGGGACCCTGAACCCATATGGAAGACCTTGAGGAAGTTCCTGGCTTGGGATCAGGACAACTCTGGTCATTGCGGCCGCCAGGAGAATGAACTAGCAGATGGAAGACCCCTCTCTCTCCCTCTCTCTCTGCCTCTGCCTCTCTGTAACTCTGCCTTTCAAATAAATAAAATAAAATCTTAAAGAAAAAAGCAAAACAGAATTCCAGGAGTGGGTTTTGACATAGGAGTTAAGATACTGCCTGGTTGCCCACTTCCCATATCTGAATCCACCTCCACTCCCAATTCCAGCTTCTTGCTAATGCATACCCATCAAGGCAGTAGGTGATGATTCAAGTATTTTCTGCAACCCACATAGGAGATTTGGATTGAATTCCTAGCTCTCAGCTTTGGCCTTGCCTAGTTTCAGCCAAAGTTTGGCGAGATTTAGGGAACAAATCAGCAGATGGGAGATCTCTTACTTTCTCTCTACTTCTCACATATGTGTGTATAAATTTCCCCAGCTGAATCAATAGACCATCAAACAGACACAATATTAATGACAATTGTCCACCTCACCCTTGTGAGCAAATGTTGACCCCATTGATGGAGACTGAAACTCCATAGAGGCCGGTTGGCAGTGCTGGCAGCACAACTTCCAGGCCCTGAGCCGTCTGTGCATGAATCTCGGCCAAGGCATCCTGGATGTGAACTTGCATATCCAAATCTGTGTAGTTCACCAGTTGTGTCATCCTGATGAAAAGTGCTTCACCTCCTGTATTGAAAAGAATCTATTAGCCTCTGTGATATGGATCTGTGGCTTCTGTCACCTTTCTTTTCTAAAACTTTTTTTAGGATTATATACATGCTTTGCACCATGTATAATATTCTAATTAAGAATTCTAATACCAACCTAATTTTTTTTTTCATGAAACTGCTAACAATCTTTTTAACAGAACTAAAGCCTATAACCTTAAGGGCATGAAAAGCAAAACTATGAGGACAATTGTACTGAAGAGAGACTAATATTCATATAAAGGCAAATTGGGAAGTAATTTGCAAGGCTAATAGTATTTGTAATCAGCAAATAACACCCCATGTCCTTTTCTTTAACCTCCACTTTACTACGATAGAATTCTAAGCTTTATGTGCAGAGAGCACTGGGCCTTATAATGATACTGTAAGCCAATACAGTCATCATAGTTTACAGCGAACATTCATGCATATTATCCTATTTGGTAGTCAAACTGTTTTAATGGCATATGGGGGTATTCAAAAACTTTGTGGAAAATCCTTATTATAGAGCAATTATGCATAGTTTCAAAATGTGTCCGCCAAAATAAACTTATTTTTGATTCCATTTTCAATGAATCTTTTGAAACCTGCTTGTGCATGAGACAGGTAATATGACAGGCATTTTGCATTTAAAGAAACTAAGGCTTAACCACCATGGCTTCAAAGCTCATTAACCGAACAGTCAAGACCTGAACCCAATCTTCTTTCAATGACTTCTGTATTTCAATGACTTTTCAGTTTAACTTGCGACTCTATCAAAATATTATGTATATTATGAACATTTTAATTCAACTCCTTTTAACTCAGTATTAATAGAACATCATGAAGAACAGGATGCAAAGCACACAAAAATAAAGACAGACCCTTCCCTAAAAGGGGCTCAAAAGTAGTAAAATAGGTGAAAAATAGCATCAGTAGAAGACATCCTATAAAGCATGACAATTAAGCATTAGCATTATTCAAAGCAGGGCAGCATTCTGAATATCGGGAAAGGCTTTATGATAAGGCAAGATGACACTTGAAATTCAATCTGAAAGGCAAATCTCAAGAGAAAATGATAGAGAAGGTTTATAATCTAATTTTTAAATTTCACAACTTTATCTGAAGTCTTTTGTAACATACTCTCACTTAATCATTTATTGGTATGATGATAAAAAGAACAGGGGGCCAGCACGGTAGAGCAGCAGGTTAAGCCAACTTCTGAGATGGCAGCATCCATATAAGCACCAATTCCAATGCAGTTCCCTAATAATATTCCTGGGAGAGCAACAGAAAATGGCCAAAGATGGTCACACCCACATGGGAGACTCAGATGGAGTTCCAGGCTCCTGGCTTCAGCCTGGCCCAGTTCCTGCTATTTTAACTGCATATGGAATGAAGCAGCAGATGGAAGATATCTCTGTCTCTGTTGTTCTGACTTTCAAATAAGTAAAATAAATCTTAAAAGAAAACTGGGTAACATTCTAGAAGACAATGTACATGTAGCTACAGGTACATGTATGGGAGTAGACTTAGTCGATGGTGATTCTATGATTGAACATTAAGAACACTAATCCTGGCCGGCGCCGCGGCTCACTAGGCTAATCCTCCGCCTAGCGGCGCCGGCACACCGGGTTCTAGTCCCGGTCGGGGCGCCGGATTCTGTCCCGGTTGCCCCTCTTCCAGGCCAGCCCTCTGCTGTGGCCAGGGAGTGCAGTGGAGGATGGCCCAGGTGCTTGGGCCCTGCACCCGCATGGGAGACCAGGAAAAGCACCTGGCTCCTGGCTCCTGCCATCGGATCAGTGCGGTGCGCCGGCCGCAGCGCGCTGGCCGCGGCGGCCATTGGAGGGTGAACCAACGGCAAAGGAAGACCTTTCTCTCTGTCTCTCTCTCTCACTGTCCACTCTGCCTGTCAAAAAAAAAAAAAAAAAAACACTAATCCTGAGGATTATCTACATTAATTCAGAGGCTAGTGGAGACCTCCAAAGGTCTCCATTTCTAAGCAAATGAAGGATATGATTGAAGCCATCTTTTCAGTTAAAAAAAAAAAAAAAAAGAAAGGTAAAATGAAAACATAGGAGACAAAACATTCAATCTGCCCACAGCTATAGTCTAAATGAAGGCCAGATCCAGTATGCATAGCCAAAGTGTAAATAAATACACTAACCTTTCCTGTGCCTCAATGTGCCCATAGCTTGGCCTAAAGTTCCTTAAAATTGTAACATTTGAGATTTACTGCAGAGCTGGCAACTGCAGGATGCCACAGCCAAACATATGAAGAGGAAAAAGAGGTTGCTTGAAAGAAAAATGTCAAAGAAGAGGAATGTGGCAAAGTTGGAAGAGTGTGGATCTGCATTCCAATCCTTAATCTATCATTTAACCACCTCCATGACTGAGTGACTCACTTTGGACTTTCCAAGTCTGGGATTTTTCATCAATAAGATAACAATAAAGCCCATCTTATTGTTGTAAGAACTACCTTAGGTATTTTGGGAAATCATCTGATATAGCAAGGACACAAAAAGACCTCAACTAACTTCATTTTCTTCCTTGCCCCATGAACAAGACTTGTTCATGTCTTCCTAACCTCTGCTGTGCTGTCTGGAGTTACAGTGTAGTGAGTTCAAGAAATTTCAGGGCGGACCATGGGAAAATACATGACCATAAGTGGCAGTAGCACAAAATGAACTTTATTTGGGTGTTGCTCTGACCAGGTCACACAAAAGGAGGAAGTCTCATGACATAAGCCGTTCCAGAGGCAACATTACAGGGCCACCACCCAGAAGGGAAGGAATGCAAGAATCCCTCAGGGAGACAGAGATCAGAAAGGGGCTTATATGTATACATGATGCATTCAGCAGCCTCATAAGTAGACTCTGGATCACATAGCCCCAAAGACCATCAGCATTTCAGGCCAAGATTTATCTATGACTGGCTGATGCTGGGTAGACTTTCGTGGGGTATGTAAAGCACGGTGGCTCTACATGGCTAAAAATTCTGCTTCTTTTGGTTATATTTAAAACCTTTGGAAGTATAAAAATTTGAATTGGGCATTGGTAGGCTTTTGACCCAATAGGTCCAGGGTGCTATAAAACAAACAACATAAAACTAACATGCAAAGCTCATCTTCGACTCATTGATAGTGCATTAAGTAGCTGGCAAAATGGCAGCTTTCACTTCAACAAAGTATTGAGTGCTTAGTTCATGTCAGTTCCTGGATTAGGTCCTTTTACATACTTTGTCTTCAATTTTCACATTTACATAGAAATAACTACTCCCACATAACAAATAAAAATGCCAAAGATAGAAGAAGTTAACTATCTTGCTCAAGGAATATGTTAACTTAAACTAAATTTTTCCTGAGATCGCCTTCATACATTGAGTCCCTGTATAATGAACCTCAACCTTAACTTAATAGTAAACAAACTGAGAGCCTATTTCAGGAGTATTTTTTTGTAACAGCTAGCTAAGGATCAGTCAATCACAAGCTGCCAACTGACCAGACCACGCTCAAGTAAGGAAAACACTGAACTGGAACCAATCAAGCTGCTTCTGCCCCCGACTTCCATTTTTCTGGCTATAATTGGTGCCTACTCATGTTGTAAAGCAAAATTTTGTAATCTTTTCTGGTACTCAGGGCTCCCCTATTTGTAAATCATCCTTTGTTCAAATAATCTGTTTAATTTGTTGAGATAAACCAGATACAAAAGGCAATTATTGTATGAGTACTTAGGTGAGCTACCCAAAAAAAAAAAAAAACCAAAATCATAGATAGGACAACAAAGGTGACCAAGGGATGGAATGATGTGGTAATATGGAGTTACTATTTAATAGGTACACACAGTTTCAGTTTAGAATGATGAAACAGTTCTGGAGACAGATAGTAATGATGGTTGTATAACAATGTAAATACAGTTAATGCCATGAAACTGCACAATTAAATGTGGTTAAAATGCTAAATTTTATATTACACATACTTAACAAAATTTAAAAACTGAGATTATCCATTGAGAAGAAAATTTGAATTTGTCAAAAGTTTTCATTTTAACAAGTAGTTGAGCTGGGATTAATTCAGATCCAGTTCTTTCTGGCTACAAAAACCAAATTGATAATCCTATACCTCATATTCTTCCTCCCCTCTCACTGCTCTCCTCCTCTTTGGCTTCCATTTTATCTTGGCTTCACCATCATCAATGTAGCACTCGAACATAAAAAAAAACTCCCAATAGGCTCACATGCTTTGTGGATTTTTATAGCATGTTCTTCCTTATTTTGCTCATGGAAAGGTTTAAATGCAACTATAAACTCAGAAAGGAGTGCACTGAATTGTAGGTATCAATAATATGAGCTTCTTGGGCCCTTGGTCAATTGTCAAGCTAATCCTAGATGCCTTTGAGGCACTGATGCAATGTATTTATTCGTTTCATTATAGGTAAGAAATTTTATTAAAAGGCAAAATCACTGAAATCTGAATATAACATGGGGCTCCCTCCTCCCCTTTCTACCTTGTTGGGAAGAACCTGTACCACTAAGGAATTTTACACACTTCGCTTGCCCGAGGCAGCAAATTCTTCTTCTGCACTATCTGAGCTGAATAATATTGAGAAGCTAAAGGACACTTCCCTTTATTTATGTACTCTTGAACTATGGAAAATGAAAATAGTATCAGAAAAAATTGAGTTCAGGCTCTTTCTCTGGGAAGCATGATGGTCTTCTTATAATAAGGCCCTGATTCAGCTACCATAAACTCTAATAACTGGAAATTCAATTAACCAGAAAGGAGCTTTACCTGCTACTTTGACTGATAATAATAAACTGTGATAATTCTACCCTGTCATATGATCTGAATCACAAAAGAAAGATTAAATTATTTCACATAGCTGGTGAGAAAGAATCTATTGTTTTAGTATACATAGTATGTCTCAAGTAATAAGATTTCTTGGTTATCAGAGCACTTTATTCCCTAATCATATTAAATAATGGCTATGATAGAACCTATTGCCAAAATGAGTAGTCTATGGTTAACTCTAGGTGGCTAACAGCTTAGAATCTACAAACACATTGCCTGAATTCAAATCTCAGCTCTGTTACTAAAGCAAGCATCTTTAAAAAGTCATTTATTGGGGCCATGCTGCGGCATAGTAGGCTAGCCTCTGCCTGTGGTGCCAGCATCCCATATGGGCACCATTTTGTGTCCCAGCTACTTCTCTTCCAACCCAGCTCTCTGATATGGCCTGGGGAAGCAGTAGAAGATGGCCCAAATGCTTAGGCCCCTGACCCACTAGGTAGACCTGGAAAAAGCTCCTGGCTCCTGGCTCCTGGCTTCTGATCTGCCCAGCTCTGATTCTTGTGACCATTTGGGGAGTGAATCAGGACATGAAAGACCTTTTTCTCTGTTTTTCTCTCTGTCTGTAACTCTACCTCTCAAATAAATAAATAAAATCTTTTATAAAAATTATTTATTCTCTCTAATCCTTGGTTTCCTTATCTGCAAACTGAGACTAATGATCCTGCAAATTATTGGCAAGGATTAAATTGATGTCCATTATATGTCTATTATTATTGAATTATTACCTTTTAATTTCCACCTTATCTTCATGATGGAAATAGAGAAGTATTTATAAACAGATTGATTCAATAATGGTGAAGATGAAAGAAACAGTCTCTTAGCTTTCAGGAAAAAAATTTCCATTCAAAATACAATAAAATGTATTCAGGACATTGGCCACCTTTTGATAAGAACAATTGACACAATGGAGAAAATATTTAACACATTACATATCTTTTAAAGGATTAATATCAGAATATATGAGGAGCTCAAGAAACTCAACAAAAAGCAAGCAATCTAATTAAAAATGGGATAAGGATATGAACAGGCATTTTTCAAAGGATGAAATACAAATGGCCAGCAGACATATGAGAAGATGCTTAGGATTGCTAGCCTTCAGGAAAATGCAAATAAAAAGTACAATGAGCTTTCACTTCACCCCAGTTAGAATGGCTATCATCCAAAAATAAAAAAAAATAAAAATAAATGCTAGCAAGGATGTGGGGAAAATGGTACCCTATACATTTGGTAGGAATGTAAACTAGTACAAAGATTATAGAAGACAGTATGGAAATTTCTCAGAAATCTGAAAACATATCTACCATATGACCCAGCCATTCCACTTCTGAGACTTTACCCAAAGGAAATGGAATCAACATATGCTAAACCCACAATTGCTAAGATACAGAATCAACCCAGGTGTCCATCAACTGAGGACTAGATAAAGAAATTGTGGTAAATATACACGATGGAATTCAACTCAAGAGGGAATATTCAGCCATAAAAAAGAATGAAATCCTACCTTTTCTAACAAAAAAGATGCTTAGTGAAATAATCCAGTCACCAAAAGACATATCATGTTTTCCCTAATTTGTGGTAATATACAGAGTAGAAAAAATGTAATAATATGAGCAAGATTGACATTTTGAGATTTGATTATTGTTTATAGCTCTTGTCTATATTCTTGAGGAACACTGGTTTTTCTACTTACTAATTGTTGAATTCTTAATTTATAGGATAGTTAACCTTGTGTTTATAAAGAAAATTGAAGGAATGTCATTGTAAAAATTAGAAAAATAAGAGGAAGAGGAGGCAAGATGGGGTAGGGGGAGGGTGGGAAGCACAATTATGTTCTTAAAATTGTATATATGAAATAAACAAAATAGGTTCCCTTTATATAAATAAAAGTAAAATTAAAAATGCAAAGCCCATCCACTTAAAACACAATCTTGCAATATTGGGAATTGTACCTGCTATGCTGCTTTGGTTTCTGCTCAGAGACAAAATCACTGGATTTAAAGAAGGGACAAAGGTAAACCCACTGTGAAGAACTGCATAGTAGTCCCCAGAGATCACAGTCACATTCACAGTATGTCCATCGTTCCCCTGAAAAATCAGTTTTAAAAATCAAATCTCAGCAAGTAAGAATGACTTGAGAAGTCCATACAAAATTAGCTTAGAAGATAAATTTTTAAAAGTTGTTATTAAAGAGTATGGTAGAGTATGTTGTGACTTTCATCTCTCTCTCTCTCTCTCTCTCTCTCTCTCACACACACACACACACTCAAGTGCTTAAACTAGGCATATGCATTGTTGAACAGAAGCAAAATAACCTTCTCTAAGAGGTCAATAAGAATAGCACAATTAACATAGCAATTTTTCCCACAAAAAATGGAAACTTCAGATAAATCCTATACCTAGCTCAACTACCCAACATGTATGAGAGTACTTTAAAAAAAAAAAAAAGATTTATTTATTTATTTGAATGGCAGAGCTACAGAGAGACAGAGGCAGAGACAGAGAGAGAGATGTCTTCATCTGTTGGTTCACTCCCCAGATGTTGACAACAGCCCGGGTGTGACCGATCCAAAGCCAGGAGCCAGGAGCTTCTCCAGGTCTCCCATGCAGGTGCAGGGACCCATGGACTTGGGCCATCCTCTACTACTTTTCCAGGCCATAGCAAAGGGCTGGCAGAAATAGAGCAGCCAGGACTCGAACTGGTGCCCATATGGGATTCTGGCTCTTCAGGTGGCAGCTTCACCCACTATGCCACATTACCAGCCCCAGTAATGTAAGTTCTCAGAAAATCTTTCTCCCACATACTCTTTTGTAGCATGGTTCTAAAAATTACAATCTTATAAAATAATAATCAAAAAAGAAGAAAATATGAACTCCAAGATAATAGTGACTCTACCCAGGAAAGCAATTAAAGAAAGTGTTAAATTGAAATCTATTGAACAGATCTAGAAAATAATCAATTTCAATTGAAGGAGAACAGATAGCTTCAAGGAAAAAAAATATTGATATGATGGAACTTATTAACATGATGTTTTTTTATTATAAGACAGACATGATAAGACAAAGGGAAGTTCTAGACTAAAAATTATTGAATAGACCTAGAAAATGATCAACTTCAATTGAAATAGGAAAATAGAGAGCTTCAAGGATAAAAAGTAATATGATGGAACATTTTTAAAAGATGGTGACTTTCTTCTAATCCAGCTCACTGCTAATGCTCTAAGAAAAGCAGAAGATGGCTCAGGTGTTTCAGCCACTGCCAACCACCATGGGAGACCTGAATGAAGCTGCTGGCTTCTACCTGGGCTGGCCCTGACTTTGGCAGTCATCTGGGGGAGTGAACCAGCAGATGGAAGATCTCTCTATGTCTCTCTCTCTCTGACTCTTTCTCTGTCTCTCTCTCTTCCTCTCCCTGCCCAGTGCTGACTTTCAAAATAAATAAATAAATATTTTTAATAAATAAATATTTTTAAAAGATGGTGAATTTTTATTGTAAGTAAGGCATGCTATGACAAAGCAGATATTCTAGGAAGAAAGCAAATAATTATCAAATGAAACAAAGATTATCAGGTTCTTCCAGCATTATTTAGTTATGATTATATAAATGTATTACTGATTTAACAAATAAGGTACTGCAGCTATATTCAAAAGAATTAAATGTTCTTGTTTCATAAAGAGGTACTTGAAAGATGAAGGATAGGGAAAACATGATTTTATTTATTTTCCTTTTAACTTCTGTATGTATTATTTAACCAAAGCTAAAAGTTCTCTTTTTCAGTGATTACCCATGCTAACATAAGAAATCTAAACAGTAATATTTTACCATTAAATGGATCAGTGTAACTCTGGCCGTCGTGGCCATTTGGGGAGTGAACAAGCAGATCTCTCTCTCTTTCTCTCTCTCTCTCTCTCTTTTTCTCTTTCTCTCTCTCTCTCTTTGTAACTCTGCCTTTCAAATAAATAAATAAATCTTTAAAAAAAAAAGTACCCAAATGTCCAATAATAAAGAATAGATAAACAGATTACTGTACCACCATATATTGGAATTACATGGTGGTTCACAAATAGAAGCTAGCTTTTTGCAATATTTAACGAATTGGAAGAGATAAACATGTAGGACTTGTGATCAAAGGGTATTATGAATCCTAGCTCTTGGGGAATCTGTTAATAGACAGATCTTTTGGGTCATGGTTATACTAGGAACGTTGATGACATTGAAATCAACTCTGATAGAAAGTTCAACTGCAGCTCTTATTGTGACTGTCACCAACAGCACCAGGGAAGTGTCTGAATTCAAATCCCTCAGCAGCCCAGGAAATAGCACCCTGAGACAAAGAGATGCCAAAAGGACTCCACTTACCCTGGAAGGAACTTTGCATTCAATTCTTCGTGAATTGCTTGCGCTGACATTGATGGCACAAGACTGAGATCCAAATAGCACCATGCTAACACCCTCCAAACTAGAGCCTCGGATAGTGGCCCAGATTCCTCCTGTAGCAAAAAGAACATAGTCAAAGGGGAAGCATGGCCATACAGAAAAAAAATCTATCATTGAAAAGAGATAAAATTGAATCAATATATAACACTCTTCAGTAAAAACACAAGGCAATACATAAACTAAGAGAAAAAACTGAAGTTAAAGACAAACTAACACACACCAAGGGAGATAGTTACTAGAGGACAGAGGAAGTAGTAAGGCATCAGGAGACCTTTAAAATAAAGCATGGAGATGTAATACTGACACAAATCAAAGAAGTGAAGTGAATAGCCTCTGAAAAATAATTCTGCCCTAGATTCTAGAACATCATTCCTTCCAACCCCATAAAATTCACGATTTTCTTCAGATGCCAAGTATAAGAAAGCATCATGTGGAAAGAGCAGTGGGCCCACTTAAAGCAGGCCATTGATAGTATCATCCTAGAGTGCATTGGTCCCCATTTTCCTCATCTTTAGTTGATGGCATTCCCTTCCATCTTTGCAATTTGATACCACACATACAAGGCTCTAGGCACCATGATGGTATAGAAATGACAGGCGTTGCCACCCACTGCCATCAGGACTTATATGACGCCCACTGCAGAGCCACCAGAGAAACCCCCAGCTCCCAGCTCTTCACTGTTCACGTTGGTAAGAAGAAAGATGGCACTCATCCTACTGATATCATGTCACACTTTCCCATTTGGAGGAGCCACTCTTGACCAGCTGATGTACAGAGAACCCATTTATTATTGATGAACTCAATGATTCATATCTGCCACCCCCCAGGAGGAATACAGAGAGGCAATGAAGGCCAGCAAAGAGGTGTATCCCTTAACAGTGGGGCTCAGGTGAAGGAGCAAGGTCACCTGTCCCAGCCACATCAGGGAGAAAAAGGGGGATTTACACAATCTGAGGAAAAACTTTGGGGATGATGTGACTGGGTTCAATAATACCCTAAAGTTGAATGTGTAACTTCCCCTAAAAGGTCCAAAGCAAGACTACAATAGACTTCAAAGGTAGAGGATAAAATAAAAGAGCAATATATAAAAAGTAGCATAAAAGATATAATGCCTGGAAACAAATTTGACAAGAAAAATTTGGGAAGATAAAAAAAATCAAAGAAACTTTGAAATGATGCTAAAGGACTTAGTAGATGGATGAAAACTTGGATAAGAATACTAAAATAAATGAATAGAATGAATATCATAAAGCTATCCTATCTTTGCAAATTAAACAGAAACATTAATGTAATTTCAAAGAAAATATAAATGGGATTTTTGTTTAAATTAGATAAGCTGCTTTGAAAATTTAATGAAAATTAAAATACCCAGAAAATAAAATTTCAAAAATAAGGGTTAAAAGTTCTTCTTTACTACATTAAATGTCTATCAAAATTTTTATTGTGGCAGTTATTTGGAAGAGCTATTAAAAATCACTGCAACCCACATTAATGTGAGTGCAGGGTTAGGGTCCCAGCTCCCACCCCAATTCCAGCTTCCTGCTAATGCACACCTGGGAGGCAGCAGATGATGACACAAGTACTTGGGTCCCTGTCACCTACACAGAAGACTGTAATAGAGTTCTGGGCTCCTGGCTTCAGCCTGGCTCAGCCCTGCATGTTCCAGGTATTTGTGGAGTGAACCAGAGATTCACTAGAATGATCTGTCTGCCTTTCAAATAAAAATTAAAAATTATTTTTTTCCTATGACAATTACTACAAAGTTTGATAATTCAGTGTCTTAGCAAGATATGACAATGATACTCATTTGCCAGTATTTCAAAAAGTTCGTGGAAAATTTGCATTATCTTTTGATTTCCTTTTCCACAAAATTGTAAAAGCCCCCTCATGCTTTGCTGCATAGAGAATAAATCATAGGGCCCGGCACTGTGGCACCGGGTTAATGCCCTGGCCTGAAGCGCCGGCATCCCATATGGGCACCGGTTCAAGATCCGGCTACTCCACTTCCCATCCAGCTCTCTGCTATGACCTGGGAAAGCAGTAGAAGATGGCCCAAGTCCTTGGGCCCCTGCACGCACATTAGAGACCCAGAAGAAGCTCCTGGCTCCTGGCTTCGGATCAGCGCAGCTCCGGCCGTTGTGGCCATCTGGGGAGTGAACCATCAGATTGAAGACTTCTCTCTTTCTGCCTCTCCTCTCTCTGCGTAACTCTGACTTGCAAATAAATAAATAAATCTTTAAAAAAGAGAGAGAGAGAATAAATCATATATCCTTGAAGGATGATTTTTTCTATTTATCAACATTCTAAATACATATTATCTCTACACCCGGCAATTCCACTTCTGAGATGTTATATACTAATGTGTTCACCCAAATACAAAGTCAGGCAACTGTATATGCATACATAAATCACGAAGCTGGACTATTTGGGGTTGAACTGTGTCCCAGAAGTTTGTATGTTGATGCCCTAATCCCCATCACCTGAGAATGTGATCTTATTGGGGAATAGGATCTTCGTAGATATAATTAGTTAAGATGAGGTCAAACTAGAGTAAGGTGTGCCCCTAATCTGACATGAGTGGTGTCCTCATAAAAAAGGGGGGGGGGATTTGAACACAGACTAGACACAGGGAGAATGCCATATGAAGATACAGGCAGGTGATGTTTTACAAGCCGTGGAAAGCCTAAGGCTCCAGTGTTCCCTCAGAATCCAGGAGAGTGGCATGGAAGAGATTCTTCATTAAAAGTTGGTTCAGAAGGAAATAGCCCTGCTAAAACCTATATCTCCTGTCTTTCGCAAAAACAAAAAATGGACCTGATTAGAAACTATTATACTGAAATAAGCCAGTCCCAAAAAGACAGATACCATATGTTTTCCCCAATCCGAGGTAACTAACAGAGTGTCTAAAATGTAAAGTATTGGAGTGAAATGAATATTTTGAGATTGGGTGATTGTGTACAGCCTTTGTCTCTCCTATTGAGGAACAGTTTTGTTTTGTTTTGTTTTTTCCTTTATACTATTTGTCAAACTCCTTTACTTACTGTAGGGTTAACTTTATGATCATTAAGTAAACCAAGAATGAAAGACCTTTATAAAAATAAAATGGAAATGGAAGAGGGAGGAAGAAGGTTGGAGCATGCATGGAAGGAAGGGTAGGGTGGGAAATATCACTATTTTCCTAAATCTGTATAGATGAAATATGTGAAACTTGCAAAACGTAAATAAAAATTTTTTAAAGGGAATCACAAGAGTATATAAGGCAAAACCAGTCTTTTCCTCAAAAACTGTGGGTTGCCTGCCTAAATTGAACCAGGAAGACATCGAAAACCTAAACAGACCCATAACTGAGACAGAAATTGAAACAGTAATAAAGGCCCTCCCAACAAAGAAAAGCCCAGGACCAGATGGATTCACTGCTGAATTCTACCAGACGTTTAAAGAAGAACTAACTCCAATTCTTCTCAAACTATTCAGAACAATCGAAGAAGAGGGAGTCCTCCCAAATTCTTTCTATGAAGCCAGCATCACCTTAATTCCTAAGCCAGAAAAAGATGCAGCACTGAAAGAGAATTACAGACCAATATCCCTGATGAACATAGATGCAAAAATCCTCAATAAAATTCTCGCCAATAGAATGCAACAACACATCAGAAAGATCATCCACCCAGACCAAGTGGGATTTATCCCTGGTATGCAGGGATGGTTTAATGTGCGCAAGACAATCAATGTGATACACCACATTAACAGACTGCAGAAGAAAAACCATATGATTATCTCAATAGATGCAGAGAAAGCATTTGATAAAATACAACACCCGTTCATGATGAAAACTCTAAGCAAACTGGGTTTGGAAGGAACATTCCTCAATACAATCAAAGCAATCTATGAAAAACCCACAGCCAACATCCTATTGAATGGGGAAAAGTTGGAAGCATTTCCACTGAGATCTGGAACCAGACAGGGATGCCCACTCTCACCACTGCTATTCAATATAGTTCTGGAGGTTCTAGCCAGAGCTATTAGGCAAGAAAAAGAAATTAAAGGGATACAAATTGGGAAGGAAGAACTCAAACTATCCCTCTTTGCAGATGACATGATTCTGTATTTAGGGGACCCAAAGAACTCTACTAAGAGACTATTGGAACTCATAGAAGAGTTTGGCAAAGTAGCAGGGTATAAAATCAATGCACAAAAATCAACAGCCTTTGTATACACAGACAATGCCATGGCTGAGGAAGAACTTCTAAGATCAATCCCATTCACAATAGCCACAAAAACAATCAAATACCTTGGAATAAACTTAACCAAAGACGTTAAAGATCTCTACGATGAAAATTACAAAACCTTAAAGAAAGAAATAGAAGAGGATACCAAGAAATGGAAAAATCTTCCATGCTCATGGATTGGAAGAATCAATATCATCAAAATGTCCATTCTCCCAAAAGCAATTTACAGATTCAATGCAATACCAATCAAGATACCGAAGACCTTCTTCTCAGATCTGGAAAAAATGGTGCTGAAATTTATATGGAGGCACAAGAGACCTCGAATAGCTAAAGCAATCTTGTACAACAAAAACAAAGCCGGAGGCATCACAATACCAGATTTCAGGACATACTACAGGGCAGTTGTAATCAAAACAGCATGGTACTGGTACAGAAACAGATGGATAGACCAATGGAACAGAATTGAAACACCAGAAATCAACCCAAACATCTACAGCCAACTTATATTTGATCAAGGATCTAAAACTAATTCCTGGAGCAAGGACAGTCTATTCAATAAATGGTGCTGGGAAAATTGGATTTCCACGTGCAGAAGCATGAAGTAAGACCCCTACCTTACACCTTACACAAAAATCCACTCAACGTGGATTAAAGACCTAAATCTACGACCTGACACCATCAAGTTACTAGAGAACATTGGAGAAACCCTTCAAGATATTGGCACAGGCAAAGAATTTCTGGAAAAGACCCGGGAGGCACAGGCAGTCAAAGCCAAAATCAACTATTGGGATTGCATCAAATTGAGAAGTTTCTGTACTGCAAAAGAA